GAAGCAGGGAACCATCCAAGCTGTGTACAGTAAGGATGGGACGTTGTTGACCTCAACTGATGGAGTGTTAGGGCGTTGGATGGAACACTTTGAGGAACTCCTGAACCCGACAACTCCGCCCTCTATGTTAGAGGCAGAGCTGGAGTATAACGGGGGATCAACACCAATCTCCCGGGCGGAGGTCACTGAGGTCGTCAAACAACTCCACAGTGGCAAAACCCCGGGGTTGGATGAGATCCACCCAGAAATGCTGAAGGCTCTGGATGTTGAGGGACTGTCATGGTTGAGACGTCTCATCAACATTGCGTGGAAGTCGGAAACAGTACCGAAGGAGAGGCAGACCGGGGTGGTGGTTCCCCTTTTTAAAAAGGGGGATCAGAGGGTGTGTGCCAATTACAGAGGCATCACACTACTCAGCCTCCCCGGGAAAGTTTACTCTAAGGTACTCGAAAGGAGGGTCAGGCCTGTATAGGAAACTTCTGTAGCAATGGAGAGTCAGGACTCAGAGAGACACGGGACGAGCAGGAGTTCTGATGTCAAACACTGGCAGTTTATTACAAGCATCGGCCAGAGAATTCATATCACAAGTCACAGCAGCAAAAAGTTCTGACTGCACGGGTGGGTTGTCATGTCAATTCTGATCCGCCTCGCATCTTGGTAGACCCTTTAACTAGTTTACCGAGAGCTAATCAGCATATTGGGGGAAGGTATCCATGAACACCTGGAGACACTGAATCACTTATCTGACTTTATGGCTCTTGTGACCGAGAGTTGACCGGTCATAAAACTGGTAATGTCAGCAATAGCTCAGACTTCCCATTCCTTAAGACAGATAACAGACTTCGGCTTCGTCGTAAATGTCAACAGGCCGAAAGGTCAAATATCTTAAGTAAAGACAAAATTAATCCCTAACAAGGCCGATTGTCGAACCTCAGATTGAGGAGGAACAATGCGGATTCCGTCCTGGTCGTGGAACGACGGATCAGCTTTTTACTCTCGCAAGGATCCTGGAGGGGGCCTGGGATTACGCTTATCCGGTCTACATGTGTTTTGTAGACTTGGAGAAGGCGTATGACCGAGTTACCAGGGAGTTACTGTGGGAGGCGCTGCGGGAGTATGGGGTGAGGGGGTCTCTACTCCGGGCCAATCTCTGTACTCCCAAAGCGAGAGCTGTGTCCGGGTCCTCGGCAATAAGTCGGACCCATTTCCGGTGAGGGTTGGCCTCCGCCAGGGCTGCGCTTCGTCACCAATCCTGTTTGTAATATACACGGATCGGATTTCGAGGCGTAGTCGTGGGGGAGGGGGTCTGCAGTTCGGTGGACTAAGGATTGCACCACTGCTTTTTGCAGATGATGTGGTTCTGGTGGCTTCATCGGTCTGCGACCTTCAGCACTCACTGGATCGGTTCGCAACCGAGTGTGAAGCGGCTGGGATGAGGATCAGCACCTCCAAATCTGAGGCCATGGTTCTCAGCAGGAAACCGATGGACTGTCCACTCCAAGTAGGGAATGAGTCCTTACCCCAAGTGAAGGAGTTCAAGTATCGCGGGGTCTTGTTCTCGAGTGAGGGAACAATGGAGCGTGAGATGGGCCGGAGAATCGGAGCAGCGGGAGCGGTACTGCAGTCGCTTTACCGCACCGTTGTGACGAAAAGGGAGCTGAGCCAGAAGGCAAAGCTCTCTGTCTACCGGGCCATTTTCGTTCCTACCCTCACCTATGGTCATGAAGGATGGGTCATGACCGAAAGAACGAGATTGCGGATACAAGCGGCCGAGATGGGTTTTCTCCGCAGGGTGGCTGGTGTCTCCCTTAGGGATAAGGTGAGAAGTTCGGTCATCCGGGAGGGACTCGGAGTTGAGCCGCTCCTCCTTCGCGTCGAAAGGAGCCAGTTGAGGTGGTTCGGGCACCTAGTTAGGATGCCACCTGGGCGCCTCCCTAGCAGTGACGTGCGGTGAGGTTCATGGCTGGTGAGGCACTGACTCTTTCAGAGTCAGATTTACAAATATTATATTCTGACCTTAATCGAAATATTCTGTTATTTTCAAAAGCTTTTTTGGTCTGATGTTTCGATTCATTTTAAACAGACCATTCAACAAAAGGATACCCACAATCTAAATATTGGATTGTTCTTTCTTAGTAAGATCCAATTTTCATTACCAATGTGGTCTTACCTTGACTTGAAGATGAAGTCCATGCTATCCTTCTGGACAACAATCTCTATTACTTTTTTGTAAAAGTCCTCCTTATCTTCCTCTAGTTTCAAAAGTCTAGTTTGTTGTTTGCGTCTACGGTCTACCGTCTCTAAGGAGAATAACAGTAGCAACAAGGACCTGTGGGCTCACGTGCGCTCCCTTCAGTGCGGCAGAGGTTATGGCTGCCTCCCCTGGTGCTTTTTTCATTGCCGTTGTACGGCGAGCCTAAATATCATAAATACGTGAAATAAGTTATTTAGAGACTATGGATGGTGAGGATAAATGTAATAAAGGGATCTACAAACATTACATTGGTGACATACAGTGAGATGGTGCAGGCATGTGCTTAGGGCCCGCTTTCCAGACAGTTTCTGTGAGGTGACGCATTTTGAGGTGAGGCAGAGCTCATCTGTGCCTCACCTCACCCCACAGTAACTGGCTTGAGCGTGCTCACAAAATAAGTGCCCGCGCTAAATTAGTGCCCGCGCTCCAGCCAGTTACTGTGGGTTTACGTGAGGCAGAGCTCATCCCTGCCTCACTTCTCATCGCTACCCGTAGTTGTAGCGGAGCTCAGCAAATTTGCTGATTTTGACTATAAAAAGCGATTGGAATCATACAGAAATCACACTTACAACACAGATCAGTGGAGACATTTTATTATTATTACTATTTAGTTTTTCTTTAGTTGTTTTTCCGTTACATTGTAGTATGGCCAGTCTATGAGTATGACAGGGGAGGCTCTGCCTCCCCTGCCTCCCCTGACTGCACGTCGCTGCTCCCTAGGGAGGTGTTCCAGGCACGTCCAGCTGGGAAGAGACCAAGGGCTAGACCTAGGACCAGGTGGAGGGATTATATCTCTTCGCTGGCCTGGGAGCACCTTGGGATCCCCCAGTCAGAGCTGATTGATGTGGCCAGGGAAAAGAAACTTTGGGGCTCTCTGCTGGAACTGCTGGAACTGCTACCCCCACGACCCGACCACGGATAAGCGGGAGAAGATGGATGGATGGATGGATTCTTAACCTATCATTGAATTTATAAACTCTTATTTAAATGATGTGTGTGTGTCTCTGTATTCCTGATGATACACTGAGAGAATGAGCTCATAGGGCTGCTGATCACCATAAGCTAAACAGTCTGTATTTTGCATTACATTTGTATAATGTAAGCTTTGTTGTTACTTTGCCTGTAGGAATACGAAAAAAATAGTTAGATATACTGAATATTATTTGATCTATTCCACCACTTAATCCCAAATAATGTAGAGGTGTATTATAGGTGCCTTAAATAACCCCTTATTTTATAGTGAGATGTATTTTTATGTTCATATAATAGTGATTTCAATGCCACCCCAAAATGATCACTGGTTCCATCCTGGCCACCCCACTGAAAATGTCCTGGCTCCGCCACTGATGGCTGAGTAGATGTACATTAAAGGCCCTCATACAGACTCATATTTGGCCCTGGACACATTTGAAGTGTAGGACTGTTTCCAACACATTGCCTCTGATTGGTCATCCTTAGATCTGCATGAGTTAGTCTGCATGTGTAAACAGGACAAATAACAACAAGTAGGCTATGCAGTGAGTCAGTGACTTGACTGGTCATGTTTTGTCTTTAAATATTCATGTCCCCTGGCTATAAAAATGCTATTTCTTTCAGTATCAACAATGCCAAATTGTTCTCTTTATAAATGGTTTGGTCTTTAAAATTGTAAACAATGTCCATTAAGGTTTCGGATGGTTTCATTTAGCATTTAAATGTTCTGTTCAGCTCGACCAAAAGTCCATAACCAAAATATATTCATACATAAAATTGCAAATTTGCATATCTAAAAAGCTAGAACAAATATATGTTTTAACTTTTTTGTAAAATGAATGTGTTGATTGTCAATTATTAAACTAACTGTTTCAAATTATCGTTAATATATTGTTTTTACGCAGTTTTTTCATCATGCTTTTTCAAATAGAGCTGCATCTCACTTCTTTAACACTAGAACCGCCAACGGGTACATTTTACCCGCAGCTGTTTTTTGATTGTAGCATATGTAGGCCATATTAAAGTCTCCCAGTCCGTGACTTTTCCTGAAAGTGTGTTATGTAGCACCCTCTGTTGTTAACAATTGTCAATATGAAGTCAGATTGAAAAAATCGCCAAATAAATGACCATTTATACCCATATCCGCCAGCGGGTAATATTTACCTCATAGAAAATGCAGCGTAAACATGACGTGTTGCTATAGCAACGCCTTTTGTCTACTGCGGTTCCTTATAGATAGATATATTGATAGAGAGAGAGAGAGATAGACAGATAGATAGTTATAGATAGTGTAACATTTTGGAGAATACAAGATCTTGGATGACTGAGCTCAAGTTGAGGACGTAATGCATGTGTGCAGGTTACGTGACTTGAATAAAGATGGACACTCGGAATGAGAGAAGTAGTCCGCCTCATCTGTTTATGTAGACAATTATATGTCCATAGAACAGAACATTATAGATAGATTGATAGATAGTTATAGATAGAGAGATTTGTACCTAAACAAAACACAAGTCTAACACCAAGCGTTTTTAAATCAGCACTCTTAGCGATATTTTATACTTCATGCTATCTGCACAAACTATATCATATGAAAATCTGAGAGTCCACAGATTCTATTGGTATACGTTTCATCCCTGTGCGATCAAAACTCACTGTTCTGTATGATAAATAAAAGAACATTGTACCTTGAAAATCAATAGCGGGTACATTTTACCGGTTGGCGGTTTTAGGTATACAGCGACCTCTGGCGGTTCTAGTGTTAAATGGTATTTCATTTGTCTTTTCCCCCCTCTCTGCCCCAGTGCTGCTCGGCCTTCTTCTCTCTGAAGGTGCGCTGCGGGGACAGGGAGGCTGAGGTCAGGTCACTGAGGGGTGTGTCCATCACAGGCGGCTGCCGATTGGCTGAAGGCTTGTACATGAGGTGGAAGATAAAGCCGTTGAAATATCTAGGAAGCAAAGTAAAATAACTAGGAGTACAGAATAACTAGATTAAAATGTTACAACGCAGTGATGAATGGTAAAGATTGTCCAATGCGTTGTAGAAGTGAGAGCTGACATGGAGTCAGAGTTACAGTGATGCAGCAAAACATGTTGGAATCTATCGCATCATACTATTTCATTGAAGCTGTGACACAACATTTAGCAAAATAAATGAGATGTGTTTACTCTAAAGCAGAGGCTCCATGACCTTCTGCTGGACTATCTTTTATGTTTTTAAAGCATTTTTGACATACATTTGAACAAGAACTGTGTCAATCCACACAGATTCAGACATGTATTACTTCCTGCATTTTTGTGAGTCACTTTCTTTATATCAAAGAGATTCAAATCAAATTAAATAATTGTCTCTTAGGTTAACTGCAGGTGTTTCCTGTCATGACCTGTTTGGTGGACTGATAGAAATGTGCAGCTGCCATGAAGCCCTTGGTCTTACAAATCGCTTTTATAAGAGCCTTTTACAACAAAAACATTTGGTGGATTAGGTAGAATTTAGATTGAATCCAAGTCCAGTAACAAATGCATTTTTCAAATGTATGTTTATATCATGTTGAATAATTTTGTATTTGGCTCAAATTTGACTAAAGTAAAAACAGAACGATAAACCAATCAGTTTTATCAGTGGAAAAGATAGAAAGGATCCATGTTCAGAACCTGCAGCTGCAGAGTCAGCACTCCACACATAAGGAGTGAAACATTCATGTGATTACACATTTGAGAATAGCTTTTCTGCTATGAATTGAATCATTCCTCAGCTCCAGGTTGCCGGGGCCTACAGGTGGTGTAAGACAGTTTTAAACTCCCTCACCGTGGCAGCCGGTTGTCTCCTCCGTTCCTGCGCAGTGGAAAGAGTTGATGGTGGGTCGGGACACGGTCCCCCCGGTGGCCTCCCTCATCACCTGATCACTGCGCTCACATCGCAGCTCGCTCATCTCACAGAAGAAGGTGGGGACCCTCAGAGACTGATGGACACAGAGCTGTCAGTCAGGCTGGGAGTTGTGCAGTGGAACGGTGATGTCATTAAAAAGGCCCGTTTGAGTTACACCTCTAATTGATCGTCAGTTACAGGATGGTTCCCATATCGGCTCTACGATTATCAAAGTTATTTTTGATTCTGCAACCTATTTACGTTCCTACCATCCCCACTTTGGCAGGCTTAACCCTTAAATGGTTTCTGTTTCCTGTGGATAGTGGCATTTGACCGGCTTTGTCCATGTGTAAAACGGGCTTAATCAATATAGGAGACCAAACAGTGTACAGTGTAACATGGGCATATTATGGGTGTAATAATGGTGAAACATGGTGTAATAGCGGTTTTCTAATGTGTAATGTGGGTGTAATAATGGTGTAATAAAAGTGTAATTACGGTATACTATGGGTATAATACTGGTGTAACATAACTGTAATATATGTCTATTAACAGAGTTATATGGGTGTAATACGGGTGTAAAAACTGTGTAATAGGGATATATTTTTGTGTAGTAAAAGTACAATATGCGTATAATTTAGAAAATAGCAATACATACATTTTCGAATAATATGTGATTGCCCATTTAAGGGTTAACACTACCATATTTGCAATGGTTGGTAGGACTGAGATCAATGTGGTCCCGGCCCAGTCCATTGTCTTAAAATCACAAACTGTATTTTTGACATTTCTGCTATTGCTGAGGAAAAGATCCAGGCTGAAAAAGACCAGAATTTCCAATGACTTTTTTCTACTGACAGTGTGATTTGTTGTCTGAGCCGCCCTGTGTTGTGTGTTTCTTGTATTTGTAACCTGGAGTTTTGGAAGAGTGCTCAACCAAGAGTCATTTTGCAGGAAGGCAGGCTGGAAACCTGTGGACGAACAAACACAGATCATAGAACAGAAGCTCACAGACAAAGGCTTAAGAAGTGAGCTTCCTTCCCACCATTCAACAACCGACAATACATTTATCATTCAAATAAACACATGAATACAACTAAAACAAGCAGCCAGTTTACAGTTTGACACACACACACACACACACACACACACACACACACACACACACACACACACACACACACACACACACACACACACACACACACACACACACACACACACACACACACACACACACACACACACACACACACACACACACACACACATGACCAGGTCGGGCGGGGGCTCCTGCGGTGCAGACTCACTCTGACGCCCCCCCCTGGCTGCAGTCAGTGCACTGATTATGAAATATTCATAGAAGATAAGATATACTTTACTGATCCCAATCACAGCAGCATTGATAAGACATTGGGCATGAATTAACAAATGGAATAAGACAATAAAGATATTCACATCAGCAGTAGAAGATAAACAAAATATGAAGGATGTATATCTAGAGATTATATATACTGAATACACAATATAAATATACAAATATACACAATAGAGGCAGTGCTTGACCAGCCTATCAAACTCCCAAAATGTGAACATTGAATACAATATACTTCACATTTACATTTGAGTTAGCACATATATGTAGTTCTCAGTGTTGGAAGAAGTACTCCATTACTTAAGTAAACGTAGTAGTATTGTAGTCAATGTGGACCAAATGTAGATACTAGAAACACTGTAGTAAAGTACTGCATTATACCACATCAGCATATCATGTGTTTTTATATGTACAAAGTAACAGTGAGCGTAAAAAAAATAATGTAGTCGAGTAAAAGTACAATATTTGCCTCTGAAGTGTAAAGGATTAGAAGCATAAAGTATTACATGGAAATACTCAAGTAAAGTATAAATATGTCAAAAAAGTACTTAACCTGTTAAGCACTGAGCCTGTTTTTCAGGTCTCAGGCTCGAAAATGACATTCCCAGAACAAATGACCATATCTTCACTTTTAAAAGGGTTAAATTAATAATCTTTTTTCTCAAAATAATGATACACCTGTGAGTTGGATGTAGAAGAGTCAGAACAATATAGATGTTTTTTATTTTAAAGAAAATTCAGATTGAACATGGTAAAAAACTGTAAATTATAGTGTCCGTCCAAAAATTCGTTTTTACTTATAGTGAAAACTAACCTTGGATGATGGGTTAGTAGACTAAAAGCTTTAGGAATCCAAAGTAGCCTACAACATATAATAAGTACCCTGTATCAAGATTGATGCAAAACAAGTGACATTTGACCTTTTTAGTGAGGTTTAGCAACAAAAAAACACTTCTGGGGTCATTTGGGTGAATTTTCCATATCTCTGGCCGTTGCAACCTGATCTCACCAGAATGTGTGACTCCACCACGACTCCTTAACACCGCATTGCGTGGTGGAGTCATGAACTTTGCTACATTTACGTGTCTGCACCACGCAAACAACGCCAATGTAAAGTGAATGAAGCTCCTTTGTCGTGGTGCACACACACATTTCTATAACGTCCAGCAGTGAGCTTTTATTCTATTAAAATCTACTTTATAGCTTGTAGTAACTCACGGGAGGCTTCTTTTATTTTATTTGTATTCATAACAATTTGGATTTTTCGTCAGAATGTATTATGGCAACCCTGTCTCATAAAAATTACGTTCCCACAGAACTAAACTGCATTCTCAATTACGTTTAGCCAGAAACATATTTTCTCCCACGTTACGTTTCTTATGAACGTATCTTAAATACGTTTATTTTCTAAATATCTTTGCCATTTATTTTCTTGCTTATAATAATGATAATAGTCATTTATAAATATCATTTTAGAGCACACATTTGAAATCAGTCGGCGAGGCTGTAATTTCTCCAGCTGTTACTCTCATGAACGAGGCAGAACATAATAGTTTTAACATGCCAAAAAGCTGCTGTGTCGTTTATTGCACCTCAAACATTAAAACAAATCCAGAGTTACGTGTTTCTGTACTTCCTCTAAGAAGAAAGGACAGTAACAGAAGATCTCTGTGACGCCAGATGTGGTGTTGTTAATGCGATATGATACCCGAAAAAAAAATGCAGTTTAGGATGGCCGAAGACACTACACTACCCATAATCCCCAACTATCGTTTGGGACTACAGTCCCGTTGACAAACCCCGTGATTAATCTTCAAGCTCTGGGATTGGATGTTGGAGTGGCATTGCGCCAAGGTTACGCCGAGCGTCAAGCTCTTTGAAATGGAACGAAACCACGGCAGACTATTCAAAACTGGACTTGAACGCCCCCCCAGAACTACACATGCTGGCTATTGTGTTTCGCAACTTCTCTATGGCACATCTACTGGGAATTGTAGTTTTAAAAGACGTTTTCGTTTTTCCCAAATTAGAAGTTGCCAGTATTAAACTGTGTACAGCCCTGGAGGTTTAGGGGATGTGTACAAATGTAAAACATGTAATTACTAAATGGGTGAAAATCGCTTGTGTCCATAATGCGCAGCATTAATATATACCCACATGACAGCTCATTGTTACTTTGTAATTGTCACGATCTGTCTTTATGGTGTTTTGTCTTGTCTTGTTTCATGTTTTATTTTGTAAGGTCTTCACCTCCTGTCTTGCCTGTTTCTGTCTGCGTTGTGTCTTGTTTGGATTTGTCTGTGGTTCCCTGTCGTTAGTTCCCTGGTGTGTCTGATTACCCAATTGTGTTCACCTGTGTTTTCTCCTTCCTCCTCACCTGTGTCTTGTTTGTGTGATTAGTCTTGTGTGTATTTAAGTTCTGGTTTTTCTGTCTGTCTTTGTCAGTTCGTCTTTTGTCATAACTAGTTCGTCGGTGAGTGTTCTGTTCTGTCTGTTATCACCTAGCCTTGAAATAAAGGAACTTTCACTTTAATCTGCATTTGGGTCCTACCTGCTTCACACACCGTGACAGTACGAACCGACCAAACAAATGGACCCAGCAGATGATCCATGGGAGGTAGAATTACAGCATTTTACCTTCTATCTGGCTTGCTGCTTCGATTGGTGGAAGAAGCGTCCAGTGTTCGGCAGAAGAGGGCCGCTCTGGTAGAGGCGCACCGGTTGGCAGCAGAGAAACTATGTTTTGTTGAGTTCTTACCCGACTGGATTTTGGACTTCCTTGAAACATGTGATTCCCGGCCTGCTAGCCCCAGGCATGCTAACTCCATTTCTCCCAATTCCCAACCTGGCACCATACGCCTTGGTGGGTTCCGCCTGAAGTCAACCCGTGCTTCTGCCCCAGTTCCTGCTCCTGTCCAGGAGTCGTATTCCGGAACTCGTCAGGCTTATGGAGGTCCACGGAGTATTCAGGAGGCTGCTAAGAGGAGTCGTCGCAGGGCCAGGCTGGCAGCCCGAGCCCCAGCGGCCGTTGTTCCGGCTCCAGTGCAGGCCCCAACAGCCATGGTTCCGGCTCCAGTGCCGGCCCCAGCAGCCATGTTTCCGGCTCCAAAACCAGCCCACACAGCCATGATCCAGGCTCCAGTACAGGCCCCAACAGCCATGGTCCCTGCACCAGAGCTGGCCCATACAGCCATGGTTCCGGCCCCAGTTCCAGCCATGGTTCCGGCTCAAGTACCGGCTCCAGCAGTCATGGTCCCGACTCCAGCACCTCGGTCTCCTGCTGGCTCCCCAGCCGACGCCAGCTCCCCGAGTCTTGTCGGCGTACCGGCCGACTCCAGCACCTCGTCTCCTGTTGGCTCTCCAGCCAACACCAGCTCCCCGAGTCTTGTCGGCGTACCGGCCGACTCCAGCACCTCGTCTCCTGCTGGCTCCCCAGCCGACGCAAGCTCCCCGAGTCTTGTCGGCGTACCGGCCGACTCCAGCACCTCGTCTCCCGCTGGCTCCCCAGACGACGCCAGCTCCCCGTGTCCTGTCGGCGTACCGACCGACACAAGTTCCCTCTCAAGTCCCCTCTCCAGTTCCTACCCGAGTCCCCTCTCCAGTTCCTACCCGAGTCCCCTCTCCAGTTCCTACCCGAGTCCCCTCTCCAGTTCCTACCCGAGTTCCCTCTCGGGTCCCCTCTCGAGTCCCCTCTCGAGTCCCCTCTCGAGTCCCCTCTCCAGTCTCCTCTCGAGTCCCCTCTCGAGTCCCCTCTCCAGGCTCCTCTCGAGTCCCTTCTCGAGTCCCCTCTCCAGGCTCCTCTCGAGTCCCTTCTCGAGTTCCCTCTCCAGTCCCCTCTCGAGTCCCCTCTCCAGTTCCCTCTCCAGTCCCCTCTCCAGTTCCCTCTCCAGTCCCCTCTCCAGTTCCCTCTCCAGTTCCCTCTCCAGTTCCCTCTCGAGTCCCCTCTCGAGTCCCTTCTCGAGTCCCCTCTCTAGTCACCTCTCAAGTCACCCTTCAAGTCTCCTCTCGAGTTCCCTCTCAAGTCCCCTCTCAAGTCCCCTCTCAGGTCCCCTCTCGAGTCTCTTCTCAAGTCCCCTCTCAGGTCCCATCTCGAGTCCTCTCTCGAGTCCCCTCTCAGGTCCCATCTCGAGTCCCCTCTCGAGTCCCCTCTCGAGTTCCCTCTCGAGTTCCCTCTCAAGTCTCCTCTCGAGTTCCCTCTCAGGTCCCATCTCGAGTCTCTTCTCGAGTTCCCTCTCAAGTCATCTCTCGAGTCCCCTCTCAAGTCTCCTCTCGAGTTCCCTCTCAAGTCATCTCTCGAGTCCCCGCTCGAGTTCCCTCTCGAGTTCCCTCTCGAGTTCCCTCCTCTAGTCCCCTCTCTAGTCCCTCCTCTAGTTCCCCTCGCGAGTCCCCTCTCGAGTTCCCTTCTCTAGTTCCTCCTCTAGTCCCTCCTTTAGTCCCTCCTCTAGTCTCTCCTCGAGTCCCCTCTCTAGTTCCCCTCTCGAGTCCCCTCTCGAGTTCCCCCTTAGTTCTCCTCTCGGTTCCCCTCTCGAGTCTCCTCTCGAGTCCCCTCTCGAGTCACGTCTCAAGTCCCTACCCAATGTCCTGGTCCGTTGGAGGTTCTGCTGGGGGTCCTGCCAACTCCATGTCCTGTCCCGTTGGAGGCCCCGTCGACTACTCCTCTGCCGGGGGTCCTACCAATCGTATGTCTGTCCCGTTGGAGGTCCCGCCGTCTACTCTCCTGCCGGGGGTCCTGCCAGCTCCTTGTCCTGTCTCGTTGGAGGTCCCGCCGACTACTCTCCTGCCGGGGGTCCTGCCAACCCTTTGTCCTGTGCCGTTGGAGGCCCTGCCGACTACTCTCCTGCCGGGGGTCCTGCCAACCCTTTGTCCTGTCCCGTTGGAGGTCCCGCCGTCTACTCTCCTGCCGGGGGTCCTGCCAACCCTTTGTCCTGTGCCGTTGGAGGCCCCGCCGACTACTCTCCTGCCAGGGGTCCTGCCAACCCTTTGTCCTGTGCCGTTGGAGGCCCCGCCGACTAGTCTCCTGCCGGGGGTCCTGCCAACCCTTTGTCCTGTCCCGTTGGAGGTCCCGCCGTCTACTCTCCTGCCGGGGGTCCTGCCAACCCTTTGTCCTGTGCCGTTGGAGGCCCCGCCGACTACTCCTGCCGGGGGTCCTACCAACTCCTTGTCCTGTTCCATTGGAGGCCCCGCCATCCTCTGTCTCGCCGGGGGTCCTGCCAATCCCGTGTCCTGGTCCTCTTCCGTGGGGGATCCTGCCGAGGCCTGTCCCACCAGCTCCGGTTCCTGTCCTGCCCGGCCTCCGGCGCTGGCCCGTCAGCGCCTTCCTGCCCGGCCTCCGGAGCTCTCTGGTCTTTGCCCTCGATCCCGGCCCTCTGTGAGCCGTGGTCTTCGCCCGCGATCCCGGCCCTCTGTGAGCCGTGGTCTTCGTCCGCGATCCCGGCCCCCTGACTCTTCCTGCCGCTGCCCTCGTCCTCGAGCCCGGCCCCCTGACTCTTCCTGCCGCGGCCTTTGCCCTCGAGCCCGGCCCCCTGACTTTCCCGGCCGCGGTCCTCGCCCTCATGCTCAGCCCCCTGAGTTCGCCCGCGATGGCTTTCGCCCCTCCATAACCCCCACCTTGAACTCTGCCTTGCCCCCGGGCCGTCCGCCCGAATACCCCTTTTTGAACTCTGCCTTGCCCCCGGGCCGTCCGCCCGAGAACCCCTCCTTGAACTCTGCCTTGCCCACGGGCCGTCCGCCCGAGATCCCTTCCTGGTCCTCTGCTGTGCTCCTGGGCGGTCAGCTCAGTCCCGTCCTCCTGACCCCCTCCACCCACCCTGGTGGCCTAGTGATACTTTAGAAGGCAATATAACGGCAGATAAATCTCACCCAGAAGGTGACCAGAGTTTGGGACTCCCTGTAGGACTCGATGATGTGGATCCTCTGGAACTGAGAGATGAGAGACACAAACACACAGCCACACCAACATAGACTTTTATTCTAAATTAATGTATTTCGTACTCTAGCGTTACTTCAAATTGCACTGTTTTTATATATTTAATACAGCCTTAAATCAAGTTTCAGCCTTAAACAAATCCCTCGCTCCTCCCTTGTTGAGAGGTTATCCCTGTGGAACACTCACATTGCCTGGGCAGCAGGGAGGTGATGATGTAGTAGATGGAGAGGGTGGAGCTGAGAAGGGGGGCCACGTCAGAGCTCAGACTGAGGCCTCTCCACTCATAGTACTGACGCCACGACACTGAGAGGAAGTACAGCACACGCATTAGTGCTAGAATCTCTATCATTGTGTGAGTCAAACCCTTGTGCCTCACTAGACACATTTTCCTCTTTTATTATATGTTTCATTCTCATGGCTGTTGGTGGCTATGGTGTGAGTTTAATTCCGAACTTTAGCTCCTATAATTCTCTAGTAAACTTTGAAGCCAAAATACAGACACTCAGACAGAGAAAGACTAAAATGTCCCCATTGAAACCCAACAGGCTCCAAATCTAAAGCCATATAGAATTGTGGCTTTTACTATTTACTATCCAATTGAGCCCAATTGAGCCCAATCCAATCGATACAATCCACTAATGTCAATGTTGTTGCAATCCATTGAAATATCACAGAATGTGGGAGGGAAAAAAGAACATGAGTAAAAAAGAATTACATTTGTGTGTTTCTTATCCTAAAAACGTATGTGAATATGAACATTAGGATCAGGATTTGTTGTTGGTTTGAATATTTAACTCAGCCTAAATGGAAAATAATATTAATTGAATACATTCGTGACAGTTCTTGAAGCATCTTTAAAGTGAGGCATGGGGTTCATTTGATAGAAACATATTCAGTTCAGATGTTCTCCTACCGAGGGGTTCACTGGGACTGGTGGTGTTGTTGGGGTCTGGTCCACACATCAGTATTTCTGCTTCCTGTTTGAGAGGCTGGTAGGCATGGCTGTGACCTGGACACACATTGATGACATAACATGTATACATCTCCTTCTCTTTATTCTTATTTGTTACATCGCTGTATATTTTTACCTTCCAGCCAATCACAGAAGGAGTCTGCGCAGACGGAGTGAACCAACTCCAGTGAACTGACTCCAGTGCAGCCAGTAGCTGCTCACCAGTTTGTTTTTGAACAGGAAGTCCTCCAAACTGAAGTCCTCAGATGTGACTTCTAAAAGGAGAAAGGAGAGGTTTAAAGTCAAATGGGAGATTGAAAGGGATGGAATAATAGTTCTATCTCGTCCCTACTGACCGCCAGAGGCGGTGCTTTAGCACTGGATATGTCCATTGCACGCATGCACCTTACGAGTACCAATAACAACAAAGTCACCTGTGACCCACGTGACACCGGCTATATCAGCTAGTGTCATCAGAGGATCTGTTCCTTTCATCCTCTCGCTGCGCGAGAGTACCGTGGCTACAATATTGTAGCCTACAGCGTTCAGTTGGAACGTTTGATTTAAGGATTTCTCTGCATCCAGTTGGCTGCGTGCAGCTTCGCGACTGATCCAGTCGGAGCAGCGGGGTTACCCGTCCTCCAGGAGCTGTGGCCGGCTGCGCAGAAAACTTCAACGGACAGGTTGGTGTCGGCTTGGTCGATGACGGCAGTGTTTCCACTCCCTCTCCCAGCTAGGTTGTCCTAATTTCTGTCTTGGTTGCTACCTGGCTTGAACTTTCTGGTGACGGCAGCGTTTTCGCCCCCTCTTCCAGGAGTTGCCCTTGTTGCGCTCTCTGTACTTTTCTGATAGCGTGGCGTCTTCTGGCACATTCTCCAGGTTCTACCGGGTCAATGTCGCCACCCCCCATCCTTTGGGCGTGGTCCTGTTGCCAAGCTCTGCTGCTTCCAGCTAGGTGAGTATTAGGTTTCTTCATGACATGGTTGGCATAAGTCATCCAGTGCTAGAGCACCACCTCTGGCGGTCAGTAGGGACGAAATAGAACGATAGTTACGTCTGTATACGGTTCTATGTGTCCCGAATGACCGCCAGAGTTTCCTGTCACTCAGAATCCTTGTGTGCTCGCGAGAAGATTCTGGGAACAGATCCTCTGATGACACCAGCTGATATAGCCGGTGTCACGTGGGTCACACAGGTGACTTTGTTGTTATTGGTACTCGTACGGTGCATGCGCACGATGGACATATCCAGTGCTAAAGCACCGCTTCTGGCGGTCATCCGGGACTCATAGAACCGTAGTTATAGACGTAACTATCGCTTTTTACTGACTGACAAAAGGAAACCAAAGAGAAGAGGAATTTTAAGTAACTTTAAGTAACTTGTATTATTTACTCCTGCAGCTTAAATAGACACATGCAATAAAGTATAATGTGCCATATGAATCTAAATCCTGCATGTTAACATCTAAGGCATTGTATATTTAAATGATAGGATCATGCTGTGGAATGTGTAAGAAATTTAGATGAAATATTACGGTTTTAATTAAAGGTGCAGGTAATTTTGGAGGAACCAGCTCGAGTGCGCTAGGATTTGAAAATACACAGCCAGAACAAATCTGCCACTTCCTTACAGAGCCCCTCCTCCAACATACACGAACGCGCACATGACCAATGAGGGCACGAGATAAGTTTGTGCACAGATGGAAGGCTGACAGGCAGGAAGGCCAAAAAAATACAAAAAATGGCGAAGCAAATTAAGTTGTTTGACTGTGGGGTAAAAATTCGTCTAACCCGTCAACATCTCAAACGAATGTTCAAAGTGATTCAACTGATAAAGCGCAAGATGAACCCGAACGAAAAGCAAAGAGGAAATGTGTAAAGTCTTGGGAGGCTAAATATATATTATGTACATTCTGCTCCGTTTTCCATTCACTTCTGGTAAAAGTTCCTTCAAAATAACAGTCCCGATCTTATTACTACCAAAATAAAAGTGCAAAATGAAACTTTACCATAGGAAAATATTGGCATACAAAGATTATCACTTATATAAAAAGGTAACATATTTTAAATATAGTTGGACATATTAAAGGTAATTTACAGCATTAATAATTAATATCTAATTCTGAACTGTGAATGATTTTCATTTATTTAACATTAGAAATGTACTAGTCTGACCAATCCAAGACTTCAATGCTGAAGGGCCAATGGATCTATGGTGGGGGTCAGCACAAAGGTCAAGAAAACCCACATTTGAAAGGGAGACAATGGATGACCAAAAAACTAGTGACTTGCTCAATTCATTTGTGGATCTGTGAAGAACATGACAACAGCTGCACTACTGGTATTTAGTATACCAGCAATTGAGGGTGGACAAGTTTACTACCACTTACGTTTCAAATAATTGTGTTAATTACTTATTGTAAAGCATTTGAACATTCTTTTGTGTCACACGTTCATTATTAAGTTGATGTATAACTGTATAGTATCTTAATTATTTAAAATATAAGGTGACTAAAAATGGCAACCGTATTTTCAGTTTTGGAAACCAAAAGCTGATGCCTGGTTGCCAGCCTGGCAACCACTTTTAAAAGTTAGCGTTGAGCCCTGCTACCCCACCTTTAAAGCTGTTTTATTCTGAAAAACCGGAAGTTCACACTCACTCTTAATTTAAAACTTTTATTCTGAAAATTCTTCATCTCCGGTTAGCATTAGCATGTGGCTAATCTTACATTTTTGAGAAAAGTGAATTTAAGGTGAAAATGACAGTGTTGCACACTAAAACACACTGACTTTAACACTACATTTATTGACGCCGAGATGTTATTATTGCTGAATATTAAATGAATGTACATGAATGAGAAGAATATGAGGAGAAAAAAGGCGTGTGGAGTTATACAATAAACACACAACGTCTAAATCTTTTTATTTACGCAATATCAGACACAGAAGAACGAGGGAGAGGAATACCCCCCCATCGTCGAAGCAGCCAATGAGAAGAGGAGCCAGGAATCGCATATACAGACGCTCCACGGAGAATTGGCCTCTCTCCTTCCTCCTCCCGACACCACGCCTTGTTTTGACTTCCTCTGTCTGATTCAAAACCACGTTACTTCAATAAATTACCCATTTGAACTTTTCCGGGACTGCATTGTCTCTTTTTAACTTCCTGCTGGGTTCGAGAACAACGATCACGATCTACAAATTGGTGACCCCGACGTGAGCTCGAAGATCCAGGAGAGAAAACTGCAGCTTCGAAGGAATTTCTACGAATCCATCTGACACACTGGGCCCAAATACATGGTAAGACAGAGCCACTTAAATCAAAAATCTTCAATAGTTTACGTAGGAAATATTAGATGTGTGTTTGATGTTGAGTAAACCTCCTGAGAAGAACTGCTTAATTAATGTTAAAAAACTAATTTTGCAACAGATCTAAAACGTGGCGTTGTTTTGAAGCGGACAAGGTGAGTCTGTTTTGTCTCTTTGTTCTTTCATCGGCGCCGCCCGAAATTTTTTGTGTGTGTTTTTAAGCCGGAATATATTAATGTGTGTTTTTAATTAAGAGTGTTTAAAAGACAGTTAGAGACTGCTTCCTCTGTCTGATTCAAAACCACGTTATTTCAATAAATTACCCATTTCAACTTTTCCGGGACTACATTGTCTCTTTTTAACTTCCTCCTGGGTTCGAGAACAACGATCACAATCTACAAATGTTAAGTGTAAAAGCCTTAACTGAATAAGGTTTGTTTCTTTGGGAACATCAGTGTACCTGCAGTGAAGCTGAACGGCAGCTCTGCCAGCCGGGCTCCCTGCTTCATGTGACGGCTCAGTTTGGCACACCAGTGTTTGGCATCTGAGAGGAAACACTCACCACAGAAAAACACTGCCTTACAGCGGGGGCTGCGGAGAGATAAGCAAAGCAGGCAGTTAAAGATAGAGGGAGGGGGAAGAACATAAGGTTCCAGAGCAGAGAGGCGAGCACCATAGGAAGAACCCAGATAACAGAGAGAAGGAGGGGAGAGGATATGAAAACACTGCAAAGCACACTGGAGACTTGTTATCAACACAAAGCATGTGGTAGAAGGCAATATATATAGACATTTTTATTGATTGGGATAAACCCCTTGAGATGCACCATCTCGTTTTCAAGGGGGTCCCGAATATGTAAATATGGCAATATGTAACACTGAGAGGGAAACAATGGGTGGCAGCATTTAAAGAAGAACTTCTTGTCCTGTTCACATGATTAATATGGTATACCCCAAACTGTATATTTTAAAGATAACATTTAACCCTTACTGTAAATGGTTTCTGTATCTTGTGGTCACAGTCATTTGACAGCCTGTGTCAATGTGTAACATGGGTCTAAACTAATTGTAATATTGGTGTAATATTGATGTTATATGTGCGTAATATGGGTGTACTAATGTTGTAATAAGGGTGTAATATGGGTGTAATATTGGTGTCATACTGTATGCATGTAATTTGGGTGTAAAAACATTTTAATAACAGAGTAATATGGGTGTCATATAGATGCAATTGATAATAGATCAAATGGATCTTAAGAGTGCTTATATGTGCTTATATGTGCTTGCCCATCTAAGGGTTACGTTAAACTACAGGTAAATCTTATGTCATGCACCTGTTAGGTAAGAACACAGAACTGTACCTGCAATCCTAAAACCACATCTGTACATAGTTATGGGTTATATAATTATAATATTGATCTTAGAACATGAAGTAAAATTCCAGACTTCAAAATGACATTTAAAAATGGCAATAAGTTAACTTAACTGGACTTTCTACTGAATTAATTCCTGCTGAATTTGAAGACAGTATTTGTGGGTAATGAAGTGTATTCCAGATATTCTGACATTCAGCTGGGTAACTGACTCTTTCATTGGCCGGCTGCAGTGCCAGGTTGCCAGGTGACACAGGAATGCTGTTAGCTGCTCCACATGCTGAGCGCCTGCTGAGGGTTAGAAGAAGTCTGAGCACAGAACAGAGGACAGAGCCTCAGGCAGAGTGAGTCTGTACAGGCAGCCAATGACTGACCTGCAGTCAGTGCTGGTGACCTGAGGCTCTGTTTTGATGTAAAGCCTCTGACAGGGGAGACAAGCAGGACCCCAAGTCTGCTGATAGCTTCACTGTTTCATGGTGGACTCGAATGTTCTATTTTTAATTTGTGCAATACAAAATGTCTTGCAATGTTATCCAAAAAACTGATGTTAATGTCATCAGCATTGATTCAGTCTGACATGGCTATACCAAGCCTGGGGAAATAGCTGTATTATATGGTAAGTGGTTTAAGATATTAACCCTGATGCTGTCATTGTCAGGGAAAGCAGAGGTTAATATATACACTCAGTATATTTAGACTTTTGGTGCTACAAATGAATTGAAATGGAACAATTGGAAGCCATATCATTGTTTTTTTAAATCTTAAGAGAAAAATGATCTTGCTTAAAGGTGGGGTAGGTAAGTTTGAGAAACCGACTCGAGATACACTTGTTGTTATATTCCATGGAATGCTCTTAACATCCCGATAGCAATGAATATCTGAAGTGCTTTGACAAAAAATCCATAAAAATATGTCATCTCTGGAAGCCGTAGTACTGTAAAAAGCACGACCAATCATTTTAGCCGGCCCGGCTAAAGTAACTGGATGGCCTACCTGCCTGTCAGCCTCCATCTGGGCACAAACTTATCTCGTGCCCTCATTGGTCATGTGCGCGTTTGTGTGTGTTGGAGGAAGGGCTCTGTAAGGAAGTGGCAGATTTGTTCCGGCTGTGTATTTTCAAATTCTAGCGCACTCGAGCTGGTTTCTCCAAAATTACCTACCCCACCTTTAACATACAGTATTTGTGGAGCTAACGTCAAAATCGTTTTGACATTATTGTCAAATTAGGCGCTCTCACCACTCCTGCAGCCGGCTAGGGAAGGAGCGTCTCTTGCAGTTCTGACAGTAGTTTATCTGGGGCAAGCGCAGGCTGACTGCTGAAGGGCCCATCTGGTCTGGGGGCTCACAGAGTCTGAGGGCCCGGGGACACAGCTCCTCATCCAGCATCTCCTCTCCCTTTTTGAGCATGTGATCGCGCAGCAGCCTGCAAGTAAACAGAAAGAGATCAGTCAGTTGTGGTGTACTGATCTTATTTCAGGAACCGTTTCCAATTATAAAGCAGCACATTTACCAAGATTGCAGTTAGTGATACATGTAGGGGCATTCCTGTGATGTGTAACTACAAAATATCAGCAGCTGCTGTTTGTGTCCCACCTGTGCAGGGTCTCGTCGTTGACCTTCAGTCTTCAGGGTTGGCGTGGCAGCCCCCCCCCACCATTGGGGCATCCATGCACCTCTGCAGCAGGGTCACAATGTTGTAAAAAGTCCTGTCTTCTACACTGTCCCCTTCAGCGAGGTCTGTACTGCAGGGGGACGACACTTTGTCCAGCACATCAAAACCCAGGGGGAGCCCCGACGCATCCGTCACCATCAGGACACTTTTCCCCTCATATTTCTCTGCAAAGAAAAGAGTGACACCTGTGAGCATCTGTAACTGGACAACATTTAATTGAATTATTTCTTGACATTTCTATGGGATATATTGTGCTCCCCACCAAACTCAAACATCCAATTCAATTGATCAGCTTAATTCATAATAATAGTGGATTATGCGACTAGCTTGTTCCCAGTTTGCAAATCATTCTTTTCTCAGACTCTTTCAGATGAATAGACATCAATCTTATGTTGGTGTCGTGATTCCTGGTACTAGTGTTAAAAACTGAGCTGGAGTCAGGCTCAGGACGTAGTTAGCCTATGTTAGCTTAGCTTAAAGACTGGAGCAGCTAGCCTTCTACATGCTAACAGTTTTTAAGTGGTAAACTAGCTTAGCTTGATCTGACTGCAGTTCCTTACTACCACTCCTCCAACATTTAACAGTCTACATGTCACATAAACTGAAGAATAAGCCAATTTAAATATTCCTTAAACACTCTTGTGAACACAACCTATATACACACTGAAGTCAGATATTCAAGTATTACAATTATAGGCTTTTAAATATAAAAAGAACACATAAACCATTATAGCATATAGGTATTAGGTCAGCTTTAACATAACTTTCCATTAAATGTTAACAAATGTTAGCTAACCATGTTATTCTACTTATTGTGTGAGAATGACTTCCTTGTTATAAAAATGTTGGATTAGCTAGAGCCAAAAAGGGATTCATAAATAGATATATATTAACAATATATGGAGTTATTGGAGTGCCATGAAACATCTGTGAATACATTATTAAATAAATGTGGAAATATAAAGAGGAACACTTTGAGAATACAAGTAAAACATAAAATACAATAACAATTGTATCAAATAGAAAAACAAATACAAATAAAATAATAATAATAATAATAATTAGCAGTATTTTAATTTAACTGTGCTGCATTTCATTTAGCATTCTATTTGTAGCTCATCTTATTGTATTTACTTTATACTGTAGTTAACTTCTCCTGAATCTTTGAACAATAATAATAAATACATTTAACATGACTCTTGCTTTATGTTACTACCATAACTCTAAACACTCACTCAGTTCAGAGAGGGGTATCCCCATAGCTATATATAAACACTAGATGACTCACCCGCGCTGCTGGCCAATGGAGACCGACGTTGCCACATGGCGGCCATCTTGCCACAGGCAGCTCGCTCATTCATAACATTATGTCTATGGTGCACTATTGAAATAACCGCGTAGATTGCTCAATTTTCAAACGGTTTGATTTGTTATAAACTGTTAATTGTAAGTATTAATATGTCTGCATGTAACTGCACTATAACTGTTCCACATTAAGAGGGCGCGATAGGCGTAAGGAGGCGCAGCTATTGTAGCTGACGTCAGGTATCAGATATAAGGGATTGTTCCCTCCCCTTCTATCTCTCTCTCTCTCTAGCTCTCATGGAGAGCAGGTCAAGTGGTGCAATGCACATATGAAAATAAACCACGCCAGTTAAGGCTAAAGAAGACCTCGTCGTCATGACCAGTTTATTGCTATACATGTGACTCTGTCAACAGGTTATGGGCCCAGATCACGGAAGAGCGAAATAACGATAGCTAGTTAGCTGAAAAGTTTAGGCTAGTTTAGCGGCGGGAAAACCGCGGGACGCTAAAGCTAAACTAATGGGTAGCTAAGCTAAGCTACAATCAAAAGATGGCGACCAGAGGCAGAAGCAAGTGGCCCACGTTTGACGGAAGGGCAGAAGAATATGAGCTCTGGGAAGAGCGGATGTTGTGCTGTATGCACGGAGTGGGGCTGAAAAAGACAATTTTGACGGGCCTCACGGGAGAAATAACGGAGGCCGCGCGAGCCCTGGATACTAAGCTGAACGCCGACGCATACTGCGAACTAGCACCACTCCTAGACAACACAAGCTTGGGGCTGATATTCCGGGACACAAAGGACAAAGGCCGAGAGAGTCTAAAAGTGTTAAGAGAACACTAAATCGGCAGAGGTAGGCCCCGGATTGTATCCCTGTATATAACATTGACCGCGCTGAAGAAAGCTAACACAGAGACTGTGACTGAATACGTCATCAGGGCGGAGCAGATCATCACGGCGCTCAAAAGTGCAGGAGAAGCACAGAGCGATGGACTAATGATGGCGATGGTTATGAGGGGACTACCAGAGATGTATAAACCGTTCACACTGTTGGTGACGCACGGTTCAGCGGACATGTCGCTGGGGGAGTTCAAGGCCAAGTTGCGGAACTTCGAGGCCTCAGAAGACTCAGACCCGGTCACCGAGGAGGCGGGAGAAAGGGTAATGAAGGCCCGGGCAGCGCCAAAGAAAAAGACCGGACCCCCGACGGAGATGGCGTGTTGGCGATGTGGAGAAAAGGGTCACCGAAAAGATAATTGCACAAAAACTGTTTGGTGTAGTTTCTGTAAAACTTCGGGACACGCAGACAGAGTGTGTAGAAAGAAGCGCAAACAGAGCGCTCGGTACGCGTGCATGCAAGATGGCGGCTGTGGACAAGATGGCGGCAGCGGTGGACGTGAGGCGAGTCGAGAAGACGCCCGGAGAGCAGCGGGAAGAGAGGACTTCACCTTCGGGGCGCAGACAGCATACGACAGCCGGTCAGCGCAGCAGCAGCAGGCCGAAAGGAAGGGACTGATCGTGGACACAGGTGCGTCGTCCCACATTATCAACGACAGGAACCGATTCAAGAACTTTGACAGCACCTTCGAGCCGGAGAGACACAGCATGGAGCTGGCAGACGGGAAGCGCACTTTCGGGTTGGCGCACGGGAGAGGAGACGCACAGGTATGCCTCATAGACAGTGAGGGGCGCCGGTGTACAGTGACGTTGAAGAACGCCCTCTACATACCCTCGTTCCCCCAAAAACTATTTTCTGTAAAATCTGCTACTGCAAATGGTGCCAAGGTGTTCTTCAATGAAGGTAACGATGTTCTTGTGGAGCCTGACGGTACAAGATTTAACATTGAGGTGTACAAGAGAATGTATTATCTACAAACAGAATGTAATGAAAATGATGTGTGTAATGTCAGTCATGATATTCAGACATGGCATGAGATCATGGGTCATTGTAATTACGAGGATATACTGAAGCTGCAGGCGGTAACAGTAGGCATGCACATTAACGGTGAAAAGCATAGACCTAACAAAGAATGTGATGTGTGTATAAAGGGAAAGTTCACTCAAACAAGGAACAGAGGTCCCACAGAAAAAGTAAAGACACCACTTGAGCTAGTTAACACAGATCTAGCCGGTCCAGTAAATAATGAGTCCATAGGTGGCTTTAAATATATGCAGTCTTTCACAGATGTGTATACAGGGGCAGTGTTTGTTTACTTTCTCAAAGCAAAGAGTGACGCACTTCAGGCCACAGAGAAATTCCTTGCAGATGTAGCTCCGTATGGCAGCGTAAAATGCCTGAGGTCCGACAACGGAACAGAGTTTACAAATAGAGAGTTTCAGTCACTGCTGAGAAGGAACAAGATCAGACACGAGACGTCCTGTCCTTACTCCCCGGCGGGGGCGGATCTACGGGGGGGCAATGGGGGGCAGCTGTCCCCCCACTGTAGAGCCTTGCCCCCCCAGCTGCCCCCCTAACTTTTGTTTCCATAAAACTGTACTAAAACAAACCTACACTATTTACACAAGCTTCTCAAGCAACAAAACAAGCATTACATTAGTTAGAAGTGAATCATTTTAAATATAATTTTAGGCCCGTTAAAAACGCATCTACGGCCCTGCATTAAACTGCGGAGCGGCGTTCACACAGACCGCGGCTCACACCGCTGCAGAGAGGGAGCGAGCTGTCCCAGCACCTATGGATCAGCTTCCCCTGGGAGCATTTCCCTTTCCACTAGTTTTGTTTTTACTAAGGACGAGAGCTTGAAACTAAATATTAATAAAACGCTGCCGTTTGAATCGATAGCGTTTAACAAACGGGCGCTGTTTGGGGCGTTACGTTACAAAATACTACGCAGACAGCGTTAGCTGGGAGATCGATCACTTTGCTAAACTACGCGGTAGCCTACTATTAAATCCACGTAAACTACACATCACAGCCATGAGGCCAGATCAATGAAACCAGGATACATCCTTTACCGTAAAAACTGGATCTAAACACAGCTGCCTGTGTGCGTTTGATAAATACTTTCTGATGTTATATGATATGCTACATATTAGCTAGGCTACATGGCCCTAACGTGTAAAGTTATACAAGCATTTGTACCAGTGCTTTTCACAAGTAGACTCTTGCAGGCCAGAGTATAGGAGTGATTCAACAACAACACAAAGACATATGAGAAGTGATCAGGACGAACAGAAAGAGGAAAAGGAAAAGAGAGTTCACTGAAGAGACCAGGAGGGTCAGAGCAGGAGGAAGAGGAGGAGATGAAGAGACCAGGAGGGTCAGAGCAGGAGGAGGAGATGAAGACATTAGTGAAGAAGAAGAAATGTATGTGAGGAATAAAGATGAAGTGTCAGAAAGAGGGACAGAGGCAGGGATCAGGAGGCAGATGAAACTCCAGCTGGACCACATGGTATGTTCTTATTCTCCTTACATATTCCATTACAGCAGCTCAATCTAGCAGCTCTTAGTATTGACAAATATTGATTGAAATGTGTTGCTGCACAGGTCACCTTCAGCTCTCTGAAGAGATGGGTGATGTCATTTGTGTACTTAATTATAAGTTGAAATGTTGAGTTTGTCAATCTTAATCTGAAAATACAAAAACTGAAATATAGGTAAGAGAAGAAACGGACACTTTTATGATGTAATTCCCTCAATGCAGATCACACATGGACTGATCCATTATTTGAGTAGGAGGGTAAATGGTATGGCGTGACGGGGTTGAAACAAACTGAGGGACAATATTGCAATTTCATAGATAATTCAAGTATTTTTTCAGAATTGATTTTTGATCAGTTAAAGTTGACAAGCATATGATTATATTAGCAGCAACATTTTGGGATAATTGGCCATTTTGATTTGTTTGATATTAAATTAATATGTAATAATGCTTAGTGAGGACATGCAAATATG